GAACCAGGAGCCCCAGAGGCCACAAAGAGGGAAAAACGTGGGGGAGCCTTTTTCTTTTCCCTATGTTTCCAGGCCTTGGAGGGTCCGAGGAGGAATTAGAAGACGACAGCATATTGTTTTTCAGTATTACTGGGTCCCCCCGAATCACAGAGTTGCTAAACAGGGATTACTGCTGGATTACGAACGGGGTCAGGTTTTACTGTCTCGATTTCTACAATCTGCTTGTTCAGTGCCTAGTACGGTGTACTTTGCCTGCTCTCCCACATTTATTGTTGAAGGTGACTTTTGTCCCAGCCATGCAGCTCCTAGCTGCTCATCTATTCCTTTTTTTGTCGTTGGCTGTGTTTGGTTTGCACCCTTTTGCCTCCTCCTTTTCTTTCCCTTGCTTGCTAGTCTTTACTCTTTTTTTTGCTGCCTCTTGCTTTAAGTACTTCAACCTCTCTCAGGCTAGAGGTGCATCTGGGGTAGCTTTTTTTTTCCGAGCTAGGGAATACTGTTATCGTGGCTCTTCATTCCCTTGTTCTCTCTCCTAACACTGCTGGAGGGAGGAGCAGAAGAATATCCTGTTGCTTACCACAAGCAACGAGAGTGGCTAAGCCTCTTCTGCTGCTCTCCTTCATGTCTTTGAGAATCTTTTGTCCTCTGAGGAGAGCTGGAGAGAACTCGGCAGCTTTCCTGCATGGATCCTGCCTCAGCAGCCGCTAATCAGGAATCCTTTTTGCAGCAAAGCATCCGCTTCTGCAATTTGGAAGAGGAACAGCATTTGTTGTGCCATTGCTGACTTTAGCTACAAACAGGCTACTGTCACTCATAAACAATTGCAAGATTTGGCAGCATGGGCTGCTCTTTTCTGGAAACAGAAATGAAGTCATGGGCACAGTGATATGTACCAGGCAGTTGCTAAAAGGACTGGACTTTCAAACAGGGCAATGCGGATAAATAGCGCAGGAAGTAGCAGAATGCATTGGGCTGTAGGAAAATAAGCAAGGATATGTTCACAGTCCTCTAAATAATTTTAAAATAATATTCCCTGTAAAATATTTGTGAAATAAACCCAGGTTTTTATTCTGTAGGTCTTGGCTATGTAGGAAGTTTATCTAGAAAATAATATCACTCTGTTGTGAATTTTAAAACATTTATGAGAAAAGAAAAAGCGGTGTTTGCATCCTGAATGGAATGGTGAGGACGAGCAGAGGCTATTAGAAAAGCTGGCAGCAAATTACAGTGAGGGTCTGCACTGGTTAGTGGGAAGATGATAACTGGGGTGAAGTAGGGGTTGGACTGGTAACCATGTGCAGTTCAGTTTCTTTAACAACAAACACCTTTCCCTCCCACACCATTTTGGAATTTCAGAATGGGCCTGGGCATCACTTTGGGCATAAATTCAAAATGCTTTGAGTGTGTGCAGTAACATTGCTGGATACCATCTGACCATCTGTTCAGTTGGCCTCAACCTGACTATAAGTAATCCATTTTGTTTGTTTCCTGGTTTGATGTTTGTTTTGCTGGTGCTATGCTGTATGCTGTGGGATTACTTAAAGGACCAGCTTGCAATAAATGTACTGCAATCAATGCTGCACGCCTGCATCTACAGTATAATTAAACTGATTTGCACTCAGGTTATTTAATAGCAGAGCAGTTGAGATTATAAGAATGATCTTCACATGACTCGAGCACAGAGTGCTTAGGGAAGTGGGGCTATCATGTTTGCAGTGTAGTGTCACTGTGAATTATGGAGATTTTAAAATATTTTTAGTTACTTCTGTGTAAATTAATTATAAAGCTATCCTATTGTGAAAGGTCAGGGTTTGAACAATGTCATCAAGATCCATACAAGTGGAAAAGGCGATATGAAAGATGAGCAGCGACAGCTTTCAATGGTATTCTTTAGAGAGGTGTCCACAGGAAAGATTGGCGGTTTTGCTAGACAAGCTCTAATATTTTCCTGGCAGGCGTAAAGTTTGTCTGAAAGTTTGCACAGAGCCAGCAGACTTCAGGAAGCTATCGTAATTTGAGATGCGTCATATTTTTATTGTGTTACTGTGTTACCTCTGAAACCTGAGAGTGATGATGTCATGTCATCTTTAATTTTCACTATGTTGAAAATCACATGGTATGCTAGAAAGCAGGGCTGGTTTGTAATGTTGCCTGTCATCTATTGGTGGCATGCTCGACTTGACTGGACTTGACTGGACTTGACTGGAACAGGGTGCAGCATAGAGGGAACATCACTCCCGTGTTCCTTTTTCAGTTCAACTTTGCAGTGAAGGGCCAACTGTACACTTTTCCAGTGTTGTTCTTGCCTTCGTCAATAATCTTTGTCCTACGAAAGTGAAATGTGTTAATTTGGTTACTTTTATTTTCTCTTTTTCAGCTAGTGGAAGTGTTAAAGACACCTTTGTTGGAGCCAGAAATGGACAATACAGGCTTCTAAAAATAATCATTGACAATGGTTAGTCAAATTTTAATCTTTTTTTCTGATTCTTTTAGGTATTTTCCTAGTTGCTTTAGTGACCTACATGTACACTTTAAAAAAAACCCCAAAACTCTGCAAAACTTAATGTTACATAGGCCTTTCAGACACAGAATCGCTCGGTTGGAAAAGACCTCTGAGATCATCATGTCCAACTGTTCCTGCCTACCCCCTAAACCATATCCCTAAGTACCTCGTCTACCCGCTCTTTAAATACATCCAGGGATGGTGACTCCACCACCTCCCTGGGCAGCCTGTTCCAGCTTCTGATGACCCTCTCAGTAAAGAACTTCCTCCTTATCTCTAACCTGAACCTCCCTTGGCACAGCTTGGTGCCATTTCCCCTTGTTCTATCCCCCATCGCGTGGGAGAAAAGACCAGCACCCACCTCTCTACAAGCTCCCTTTAGGTAGTTGTAGGTGGTGATGAGGTCTCCCCTCAGCCTTCTCTTCTCCAGGCTAAACAACCCCAGTTCCCTTAGCTGCTCCTCATAAGGCTTGTTCTCCAGACCCCTCACCATCCTTGTGGCTCTTCATATACAGAAGGTAAGCCTTAAGTTTTGGTAATGCCAAGCTTTTCAGTACAATGCTACTTTATTTTTCCATTTCAATTTTTTTTCCAAATGCTGTTTCATATTTTACTAAGGATGGCTATGTATTTCAAAGGGATAATATAAATGAGCTTACTCTTACCTTCTTACTAAAGAAAGAGTAGAGGGAAAAAAATTCCACAGCTCTGCAGTGTTACGGGACTTTGGTTACTTTCATTAGACAGATTCTTAAACACCAGCTAGTCGCTTTATATGAGGTATCAGTGTTACCTGACTTTTATGCTGGGATCAGTTGCATGTAGAAAGTCCTGTTAAAGTAGATGTTTAAGTAGTAATCTGGCTACATAGAAAATATCTTTAAAAATTTGTAACTTTACAAATTTTTAAAGCTAAAACCATTCCTTAAATCTCACGTATGTGTATAAATATAGAATTACATAATTTCTTGCAGAACTTGAGTTTGATCTTTAAACTTCTTGGCAAGTGATCAAGGCTGTAAACATTGCAAAATAAAAAACATAATGACTTTTTTTTTTAATAGCAATGTGGGTTGACTGTTTAAGACACTTCATGGTTTAGTCCACCTTTTCAAGTTCATCAAATGGCCACCTTGGGTTTTTTGTTCTTTCTAGAGTTAATTTATGTAGAGTCCACTGAAATACCTGTTAGCTGGAGAAAAGTACATGTATGTACCTGCACTTACACATACTTTTATTGTTAGGTAGATAACCTACTGTTACCTTCTTTTTGTTTGCTTTCCTTTGCAAGTCGTCTGACATTTTAATACTGTTTTCCTTAAGAAAGTGGCAGTAGTAATAGTATAGGCAGGTCACTATGGTAAAATCTCACTAGCACAAGGTACCAAGTTCTGGCATGCTATTGATTTATTTGTTTTTCCCATTAGGCAAGGTAAAAATACACTTTTGTGTGTATGCTACTTTTTAATATGAAATGAAGCGTAGCAATAAGTTACAGATAGAATGGTTTGTATGTGTTTGTGTGCGTATATATGTATATAAATATATAAATATATATATGTATATATATGCATTTTGTCTCCATGTAGAAGGAGAAGTCTTTGGTACTATTTTTCCACAGTTCAAAAAGAAACCTCTAAAATTCCCAGAATCCTGGCAGAGGGACAGTTGTCTCATCTGTCTGCAGGAGCTTTCAGCAGCTGCCCTTAGTCACCAGATGATAGTCTAATTGAGTTCTGCTAATCTGAGTTAATAACAGAAGAGGTTTGCTGCTGGGCAGTAGAGTTCCTCTGATTGTGTTTTTGTCTCGTATCTGACGACAAAGCCACCCAGAGTTCAGAATTGGCAAGTACAATCCAAATACCCTGGTCAAGGTGTACAACTTCAGCTACTTTGCTTCTCATTCAGAGAAGGGCTACACACCCTCGCCCTGAGCTGTTCATGTTCTGTGACTTACTGTGGTAGGGTGCCTTGCTCTGAAATTTTTGCTGTAGAGGCATTTGTATTCTGTTGTACTTTTGTCTGAAGTTTTAGAAGTTGGGACCTAGACTTTCAAAACATATGATGATCCTCAAACTGTGGTAGGATCCCATTTAAACAAGGGATTTCCATTTTGGTTATGGGAGTTAGTATTTATTGGGAAACTGTTAAATGTTTTGAAAGACACTATACTAACGTGCCTTTGGAAGCTGATACGTGATTTATAAATAAGGAAAAAATCTTGTTGCTACAGTGGCTCGCATAATTAAATCTCGAGTGTTCTATACAGACTTAAGCCAATTATACAAAATAAACAACTTGAGTCATTTAAAGAGACCATCGTTATGAAGCTGTATTAGAAAGAGATTTATCTACTTACATAGTCAAGTTAAAGTGATTAGTGCAAGCACATTCATTCCAAATTCTTTTCACTGTATAACTGAGTTACTGACTCCTTACAATGAATACAAACACTAATATGTTATAGCAAGAGCATCAGTAATTCTAATTATAAAATTTAAAAGCTTACTCTCATCTTGTTCCTGCTTAAGTATTCCAATTTAAAAATAAACTAACAGGCAGAAGACAGTTTTTATTTCCCTTCTGTGTACATTATGCTGAAAACACCAGCATCATTCCTGTCCCTTCAGATCAAAGAACTTAATGACAGCCAGCACATTACTTCTCAACTATTTGTATTTGGGTTAAGGTAAGGTTTTGTAGGAATTCAGCAGCTTTCTCACTGACTGGTTTTGACTTCTGTTCTTGTGGACATAATTATGAAAGATGAAGTGTTTGATTAACTGTTTATTGTAATAGCTTATTTTGAAAAACAACATTAACTCTACTGTGGCTAACCTGTAGCTTTGGTTATTTGTTTTAGAGCAGCTTGTTGTGGGATCCTCTAAGCGACCAGTTGGATCATGGGAAAAGGATTATGATGCCTTTGTCCTTCCCCTTCTTGAAGACAAGCAGCCTTGTTATATATTGTACAGATTAGATTCTCAGAATGCTCAAGGATATGAATGGATCTTCATTGCGTGGTCACCTGATCACTCTCCTGTAAGTAATGATCATCAGAGGCTTCATGCTGCTAATGATTTTTCAACAGTGCCATTCAATCTGAATCCTAGATATGAAGGAAAGGATTTGAGGAATGAAGCATTCCCCAACCTTCCCCTCACTTTCCCCCAAGAAAAGTGGGAAAACATCTTTCTTGAAGCTCATTGAGGAGTGTCAGTGTGTCTAGATGTTATGCAGCTGATCCAGTTTATTTCTAGCCTGACTAGACGGTGGTTTTGCTCTGTTTGTTTGTCTGTCTTTTTGTCAGTGTTTCATGGAAGGATATAGGACAGAAATCTCAATGGCTCTTACAGAGAGAAGGATTATAGTGTGAGCTCAAGCTGTTTATTCTGTTTGGCTTGCTGGCTGCCCAGCTGGCACGTGTGGATCTGTGACCTGCCACAGAATACCATGTTGCTTAGTAGCTAGAGAACATGGGAGGGAACTGAGGTTACAGTTAAGGATTTCTAGGAGAAAATAGGATACTGTATACAGGTTCTGGGAGTGTGAGATAAGGGAAGACAGAAAGTAAAGCTATTCATATATTACTACTACTTTAACTAGCAGTTAGAAAATAGTAAGAGACCAAGAGTTGGTGGAAACTATGAGATATTGTGGTGAGGATGACATGACTGTGAAATAAGGTGGGAAAATAAGACTGTTGAGAGAGGATAATAAGTGACCATGCTTGACCTAAGTTTATAGGGAGCAAGCATCATTAGATCTTTTGCCTCTAAAAAATTTCATTTTTTCCGCTTTATAGTTGAACCAAAACTGTCTGGAATCACTATCATATCAAAAGTAGTAATGAGTTATTTTCCATCTGTTCTTTATCTGTTGTATTCATTACTACACAGACCAGTGACAAAATATCTAAACAGTTGCGGTTTTTCCTGTTTAAAAATTAGTAAAGATTATGTTGACTTTTTTCCCATTTTTTAAAAAAGCAGATTCTCTTACTAAAGCTGCAATTTAGTTTTGGAATTTAATAATAATGCATAGTGTTATACCCTTGAAAATTTAATGACATGTGTTAGTATCATGATCCAGCGCTCATTCCATGCAGTTTATTATGAACTACAACTTCAAAATGCAGTTTCAACACTGAAAAGATGTGTTCAAGAAAGATATTTGTAATGGGCTTGGTACACCAACATGCTGAATTCTCTGTATGCATCAAAGAAAAAAAAAATGAACCCAAACCAAAACAATACTGTTTTATGATATGCCAGGTTCGTCAAAAAATGTTGTATGCAGCAACCCGAGCAACACTGAAGAAAGAATTTGGAGGTGGCCATATTAAGGATGAAGTATTTGGAACTGTTCACGTATGTTTTCCTTTTTAAAGTCAGCATACTGACTTTATATACTAAATATAGTAGCTGATGTAACTGGTATGAATTTGTGGTGTTTCTGGTCTTTCTTGATTAAGAAAAAAAAAAAGACTTAAAATCTGTGTGTGTTATTCCAATGTTAAAATGTAATTGTTTTCATTTGAACAAGCATATTTAACAATTTCAGGCTAGGAAGTCCTTGCTTCAAATGTCTATGGAAACTAAATAATCTAGAAATAATAAGAGCATCTCTTAATCTCACTGCGTGCATGTGAATCATCAAAAAGCTGTAACACCAACTTTCAGTCCAATTGCATACACAAGCCATTTTGGATGTATGGTTCTGAATCAGAAGTGGGCTAGAACAGCTACCTGCAAGCCATTAACATGAAAACTAATGCTTTTATCTTAAATCAAGGATATTAAGCTGTCATGTAGAATATGACCATAAAATGTAATTCAAGTCCATGGCTGCCTTCTTAACTTACAGAGCCAAAATTTTAATAGCTACTAGTTTGTTCAATTAAAATACTGTTAACTATCAAGTTGACTGTTCACTTTTATGGTGAGATAATTGAAAAGTGCATGTGTGGAATCTAACAGACTTCTAAGGGATGTTGAAGAGCCTGCAAGTGCTGTACATGCAAGGAAATATGAGGCTGTTGTGTTACCTTGGTTTCTTGGGGAAGTAAGTCTTGCATGGTTGTGATGTCAGCCTGTTTGTCAGGCAGACATCAGTCAGTCTTGACTTTTTAATCCATTGCCAGTATTAAAGAAATACAGATGAGAGTTCTCAGAGATACAGAGTTCCTATAGTTTTCATGAAAACTGATGATTACTTAGAGATCCAAATTATCATTCCCCCTTTCCTCTTTCAGCAGAGAGAGTGCAGCAGTTATCTTCTATTTGGCCTGTTATGTAGTTCATCATATGCTCTAATTTGAACCAAAGCACCGCCACTATTGACACAGGGAGCTGGT